ATGGAGTGTTATTGACCTTTGAGTAACATTGACCATGTAATAACACTAACTATGCAGGAAATACTGACCATGGAGGAAACACTGACTATGGACAGCCATTGACCATGGAGAAACACTGAACATGGAGTGCCATTGACCATGGAGAGGCAAGGCATGAACTAACTCAGCAACAGGCTGGACCATGACATTGATTCCAGACAAATTTCTGACTGTTAGCAAAGAAATAAGCATTGTATTTATCTCATACCTTTCAAGGCATCTAAAGCTATCTGCAGGTAATAACTCATTGAGGAAAAATGAAGAGGAACATTTTTGAAAATTATTTTTCCTGTCTGTTTCCTCTCTCTTCCAATGCAGTTTTGCTTTCTTTCTCTTTTTGTAGCCTATCTGACTTTAATTTCCCTTTGTTCTGAACTCTCCTGCCAGAATAAATAAACACAAAGTGCTGGAGAATCTCTGCAGGCCTGGCAGCATCTGTGGAGAGAGAAACAGTTAACATTTAACTCCTTCAGAACTGAAGGCAGGCTGCAAATAACGGTTTTTATTCTGTTAACACAATGGGAGGAGAAGCAAATGAAACAGATGGTGAGGGTGCGCTGAGCTAATGGTAGTTGAGGACTAATAGTGGATGACAAATAGGTGTTAGTGGTAGGAGTGGAATGTAGAAAATAGGTCAGCTTGAAGGCATCAAACTGGATGGAGGATAGTGGACTTGCCCTTTACTTGCTGAATCCTGTCAACCGTAAAGTACCGAAGCAGATTCAACACCCTTCACCCCTGATGCTCAGTAGCAGCAGTGTGTACCATCTACAAGATATACCGCAGAAAGATCCTTAGACAACAACTTCCAAACCCACGACCATTTCCATCTAGAAGGACAAGGGCATCAGATACATGGGAACACCACCACCTGCAAGTTCCCCTCCAAGCCACACACCATCCTGACTTGGAAATATATTGCTGCTCCTTCACTGTCACCGGGTCAAAATCCTGGAATTCCCTCCTTGAGGGTATTGTGTCTCAACCTACAGCACATGGGCCGCAGCGGTTCAAAATGACAGCTCACCACCATCTTCTCAAGGGGCAACTACAGGCAATAAATGCTGGCACAGCCAGTGACATCCACGTCCCACAAGTGAATTTAAAAGGAAGGCTACATTAGGCTTCACTGGAACACTGCAGCAGGCTAAGAACAGAATCGTTAGCATGACAGCAAGATGGTGTATTGAAATGTCAAGCAACTGGAAGGTCGGGGTCATCCTTACAGAGAAAGCAAGGTGTTCCACAAAGTGGTCACCTATTTGGTCTCACCAGTGCAGAAGATGACAGAATTAATTGTTAATTTCTGCCTACCTATCAACTCCTTTATGAATCTTAAACAAGTAATTATATCCTCTATACTCTTTTTTATATTCATTCAAGGGATGAGGGCATCACTAGCTAGGCCAGCATTTATTGCCCATGAGGCAGTTAAGAATCAACCTCATTACTGTGGATCTGGAGTTACATGTAGTCCAGACAAGGTAAGGATGGCAGTTTCCTTCCTTAAAGGACATTATGAACCAGGTGAGTTTTCCAGACAATCAACAATGGATTCATGGTCATTATTAGACTCAATTCCAGATTTTTATTGAATTCAAATCCCACGCTCTGCCATGGCAGGATTCAAACCCAGGTCCCCAGAACATCTCCTGGGTCTCTAGATTAACAACCTAGTGATCATACCACTTGGCCACCAGCTCCCCACTCAAGGTAACACAAGCTGAACTGGTGCAGCCTGGCCTTGTAATGTAACCCTTTTCACTCTGGCGTCATCTCAGTACAACACCATTGAGGGGCAGCACCATTAACAGAGACTAGCTTTAAATTTCACATTCCAGTTGGTGAGGTGGAACTTGAATCTGTGTCTTCAGCATTAGCATGGACCCCTGCACAGCAATGTTACCAGTAATCCACTGCTTTCCTCTATATAACTCAATATTTCAGCAGGTTTTGCAATTAGAGTCAAACAGTTGTATTGATGTAAGTCCTGCGTATTCACATCCATCAGGGCTGGATGGAGACAGAGAGATGTGAGAAAGTGGGTGGCAGTGGATAAAAACTCTGAAATCTCCACACACCTCTGATTCTCACATCACGTGCATCCCTGACTTTAATCGTTACATCATCGGCAGGTGTGCCTTCAGCTGCCTCAGTACAAAGCTCTGGATTGCTTCACTAAACATCTCCTCTGTTAGTCTACCTCCCTCTAAGACAATCTTTTAAAAACCTACAGATGCTGAAAAAACTGAAATGAAAACAGAAATCTGAAAACAGCCAGGATCTATAACGAGAGAACAACAGCTTTCAGGAAGGGTCTAGGCTCGAAACGTCAGCTTTCCTGCTCGGCTTGCTGTGTTCATCCAGCTCTACACTTTGTTATAACACTTTTCAGGATTTGGCTTTGTTTTTGATTCTCCAAGCAATTTGATCACCCCATCCATGACAGAATCTCTTCGTGTGGCTCAATGTCAAAACCTGTTTGGTGTGTTTCTCTGTAATCTCTATCCTTTCATGAGATGTGGGCATCACTGGCAAAGGTCTGCATTTGTTACCCATCCTGAATTGCCCTCGAACTGATTTCAGAAGGCACTTAAAAATCAACCATATCGCTGTGGGTCTGTAGTCACATGTTGGTCAGACTAGGCAAGGATGTCAGATTTCCGTTCTTAACAGCATTGGTGAACACTGGGTTTTTACAATGATCAATGATTGCTCATAATCCCCATCATTGATGACTGACTTTACATCCCATATTTTAATAACAGAGTTCAAATTCCACCAGGTGCTGTGTGTGGGATTTGATGCCTTGTTCCCAGAGTATTAGCTTGGGTCTTTCTGAATTAGCTTTACTGTCAAATGTACTCAAGCGAATACAGTGAAAACTTTACAAATCGCCACGTTATGGCCTCTGTGCAGTGACATTACCACCACTACTCCACCGTCTCCTCTTCTGTAACTGTACAAAAGGTGCAATTATAAACACACATTGATGTTTATTCCACCCTCCAGTGTTTAAGGGCAGTAAGTACAATTATAGTTTTCCGACAGTGATGGCAGTATTCTGTAGAAATCCAATCTGGCCTGAAAAGATCAGTGTAACCCTACTGTGCAGGAGGCATTGAGATAGGATCTCTTACAGGATATAAAATCTAACCAAATAAAGTCTCACATTTGTACAGTCTGCTTCATTATAGCACAATACAGCAAATGAAGTATTTTACAACAGTAATTGCACTTTGAACATGTAGCTAATGCAGCAGCCAATTTTCACACAGCAAGCTCCCACAGACAGATCATAATCACATTACTGTGTTAGCGAAGTTGTCTGGGGGCCAGGATAGCAGACAGTGACTGCAGCATTTTCCGTGGCTATCACACGGGCCTGATGGGGCCTCAGTCAAAGGAAAGCAGCACAAGGTTCGACAAGTTTAGCTACAAATCTTTAATACAAATATTTGACTGAGTGAATGGATGAGGTTGACACAGCAGTCCAGTGGTGCAGACAGATCGGATTAATGATCGAGCTGGTGGGCCATACAGTTCAGGGCTCGGGAGAGCCTGATGACGCCCTCGTGTTGTCCTTATGCACAAGTTGTGGCTCATCTTCCCCATCCTGCGGAGGGTGAACCAGGACCTTGTCAATAATCCCGAACTCCTGAGCTTCCACTGGGCTCATGTACCGGTCCCGCTCCATGGCTGCTTCTGCAAAACACCACAATCACCACGGACTCGACCAGCAGTTGGGCGACCTCCAACACGTCCAGCACCCAGTTCACATTCCACCCTCACTGTCCACAAACCTGCCACCCCACCCTCACCCAGACAAACCATGCTTCCTGTTTACCATCAGCAAGGCAGCAATTACAAAGATACCATCCAAACTGTTTTAACAGTGACGAGGATTTCAGGCATGTCAATGCTTATTCAACTTGATCCTAGTCTCATATTAAACCCAACGGGAGACTAATTAAGAGATAACAAGGTGTAGAGTTGGATGAACACAGCAGGCCAAGCAGCATCATAGGAGCAGGAAGGCTGACGTTTTGGGCCTAGAAACTCCAAATCTTCATGAGCCTCTTGTGGATGGGAAAACAGCTCAAATGGCTGTTATTGATATGAGAATCACCCCAGCTCCCACAGCAAGCCGCACCAACACATACACCCAGAGTCCTGCAGCTCTGAAGAAGAGTCATGGGACCCGAAACATTCAGTCTGCTTCTCTCTCCACAGATACTGCCGAGTTTCACCCAGAGTCCTCTTCAGCAAGCCTTCCTAAACTCTCGGTCGTGACCCCAATGGAGTCAGAAAGACAGGATTTTGAGTCGTTGAGCTGCAAGACAGTAATTGGTGCACTGAGCTTATGCTGAATGTGAACAAGGGAATGGCCCTTTTAAATCCTTGCCGTTTTTTTCTAATGGTAGGTGTGGCCTAATGGACAGATCTTTGAAACCGGATTTCTGCTACAATACAGGCTGCTCATAAAAACACCCTGCAGTTTGAACCCTTTACCCTAAGCTCCCCCCTCATCCTCACAGGTCTAACCCCCTACCCCACTCTCACTTTGGGGCCACAGCAATTTTGAAGCTTCACAATGAGGGTCAAAGTGGGAAAAACGTTTGGGAAGTGATTTTCTAGACATTCTGTCACTGCTGCAAGCCCATTGCTCTTTGAAATGGGCAGCACTGATGCCTCACAGCACAAGGGACCCGGCTTTGATTCCACCCTCGGGCGACAGTCTGTGTGGAGTTTGCACATTCTCCCCGTGTCTGCATGGGTTTCCTCTGGGTGCTCTGGTTTCTGTCCACAGTCCAGAGATGTGCAGATTAGGCTGGATTGGCCATGCTAAATTGCCCCGTAGTGTCCACAGATGTGCAGGCTGGGTGGGTTAGGCAACTGTAAAAACCGCATGTGGAGTTAGAGCTGGAGTGGATCTGGGTGGGATGCTCTTCGGAGGATTGGTGCAGACTTAATGGGCTGAATGGCCTTTTTCTGCACTGGAGGGATTCTATGAAATCCATTTGGTGGCAACAAGCAAATTGCCTGGACACCAGAAGCACCCACCCAAAGAAGGGTCATTTGACCCAAACATTAACTCTGCTTTCTCTCCACAGATGCTGCCAGACCTGCTGAGTTTCCCTGGCAATTTCCGTACAATCTGTATCACACACCACCATGACTTGGAACAAAGTCACCTGGTTAGGAACAGAATGAGTTTATTCCACCAGTTACTGATAATGCAACGCTGACTGGGAGGTGAAATGACAGCTGCATCAAACACTTACCAATGACTGACAACCCCTGCTTAGTGTGTTTGGCATAAATATGATTGATCTGTCTTTTGATTTTGAGAATCTCCTCTGCCTGTATAGCAATGTCAGTTGCCTGACCCTGTGGTGAAAACATCAGAAACACAGGTTAGATCTTTTAGTGAAAGTCAACGCTCCCTCGCTATTCCCTCAGAACCCATCTCCCCACCCTCCAGCACTGCCTTGTCACTGTATCCCTCCATCAACATCATGCTCATCGCCAGCCTCAGTAAAACCAACATTGTTCCAGAAATAATAAACTTCGAGAAACAGCGTGCAAGCAAGGAAAGAGAAACACTTGCATTTGTCCAGGATGCTGCCACATTGAAAGAGACAGCAGAGAGATTACACGAAACTTGTACAAGACACCAGAGTATTGTGTACATTTCGGGGTAAAAGGTAAAATTGCCACAGTCCCAGAGGACCATAGGGCTGCTCTCTCATTAGAGAGAGGTGACTGATGATGGTTTAACCTGACTGTGACCACACCATAGGCGAGGGGAGAAGCTAAGAAGGACAGTCCGTCACAGTAGCTTCAGCTGAAGTGGTAATTGAACCCACACTGTTGTTATCCATCTGCATTGTAGACCAACCATCCAGCTAATGGAGCTGGCCAAGTATAGGAAGGATATGAACACTTTGGACAGAGCGCAGACAAGGTTTATGAGAATGGTTCAGGAATGAGGGGAGATTGGAGAGTTTTGGACTGTTTTCCGTGGAGGGGACAGGGCCAAGAGGGATTTTACGGAAGTTTTCAAAATCGTGAGGGATCTGGACAGAATAGATTGGGAGGAACTATTTCTGCTCTCAAAAGGATTGATAATGAGGAGCCTCAGATTTAAAAGAGATTTACAAAAGAAGCAGATGCAATGTGAGAAAACAAAATAACATTTTCACACATTGTGCTTCAAGTCTGGAATGCTGCCTGGAAATATGGTGGAGGCAGGTACAATTGAGGCATTCAGCAAGGCAGCAGATGACTATTTGAATGGAAATGACATGCAGGGTTACGGAGAAAAGGCAGGAGAATGGTGCAATTTCATGATGCTTGTTTGAAGAGCCGGTGCAGACACAATGGGCTGAATGGCCTCCTTCTGCACTGTCACCATTTTGCAATTTGGCGGTCATTTAGGAATATCAAACCAAAATAACACCCTTCTTTTCAGTGAGATTGGTACTTTCAGAGATATGGGGGAATATGATCAGAAGCTCATACAAAGCAGAGCTGAGAACAGTCAGTACTTACAGACGCCCCTCCCGAGGGTTGGTGAATCATGACACGTGCATTAGGCAGGGAGTGCCTCATGCCTGGGCAGCCTGCAGCTAGAAGCAAGGAACCCATGCTGGCCGCCTGGCCTACGCACCAGGTGGAGATGGGGTTCAGGATGTACTGCATGGTGTCGTAAATAGCCAGGCCAGCAGTCACCACGCCACCTACACGGGGGTGAAAAGGAAATGCAGTCACTGAACAGCTCACAAAGAATCATGGGGAGGAGTGCTGATGCCAATAGCCCATGAGGAAACACTGCTACAGCCTTGGGTCCCTACTACACTCAGGTTATCGGGTGCACTCCACTTTGCGCTGTATCCTTAAGGCATCGAAATCAAATTCCTCTTCCTGCTTTCTGCAGATCCTCCTCCTTCCTCAGCCTTCCCTTCCCACTTTTCTACACAGGCTGCTGGTGTTACTCCCCAGTTACATAATCCTTTGTCACTTCACTCCCAGAACCCCAAACCTTTTTAAGTAAATCCAAATGCAGGAACAAGGACTGCTGCAACTCCCAATAAAGAGGAAAACTTGCATTTCTGTAGCGCCTTTACACACCTCAGATGTTCCGAAAGCACTTTGAAGACAATGAGATACTTTTGAAGCGTAGTTGTGAATGTTGAAAATATGCACACAGCAAGCTCCCATAAAGTGATGTGATAATGAGCAGGATATTTGTTCTGGGTGTAGCTTGAGGGGCAAACATTACTCAGGTAACCAGGGAGAACTCCCCTGCTCATCTTTGGTATGATACCTCGGGATCTCCGACATCCACCCCAAATCAAAGGGGTTTAATACCTCATCCAACAGGTGACATCCCTGACATTTCAGCTCAGCCTGGGCTTTGTGCTCAGGACCCTGGGGTGAACGGAACCACCTGACTCAAACAGGTAAGCACTATTCAGTCAGTCACAGCCAACAACATGCCAGGGGCCAATTGCAAGTGACAATTTCACATGTGAAATCAAAGCACAAGGGCAGTAGCAGCACCTCTAGAATTATAAAACTGCAACTTCATTCAGCAGTAGTAGATACAGGGACACAGTGAAATGCGGTTCGAGTCCCAGGCTCCACTTCTCCCTTGCTGGTGACATTCGATTGGAATGTAAATGAACATGGGCAAGTGACAGGAGCAAGGCCTGAGCAACACTGCCCTCCTCAACTGGACGCAAACCTTTAAAGCATCGACTCCGTTATATTTCAGAGGCACCACACAGACAGAGACCAAGAAACCAGAGTTCACCTGGACTGTTGATGTACATGTGGATCGGCTTCTTGTTACTCTCTGATTGAAGGAACAAGAGCTGAGCAATCACTAGGCTGGCGACATTGTCATCTATCTGAGAAAAAGAGACAGACAGAATTATTTAAACTAAGCAAGGCTGTCACAGTGGGGGGGGTGAATAGGTGAGGTATTAGAAGCAATATAGACTCACAGGTCCCATGACACAAATAATTCTTTCCCTTAAGAGTCTTGAATAGATATCGTAAGCTCTCTCTCCACGACCCTGAAAAGGAAAAAGCATCATGTAAAACTCATTTGGGTAGAAAAGTGGCTGTGTATCTGAGAGAAGGTTGGATGGAGACACAATGGTACCAAGAAGACTGCCTGGGGCAGGTGGAATAGAGAGACAGACAAAATGAAAAAAACGTTGTGAACCTTATCTTGCTAGATGCAAAATAAGTAGTTCATGCAAGTTAGCCACAACGCTTTATGAGGCTAGATTTCAAATAAGCAATTGGGTGGTTTGAGTGGCTGAGACATATGTACTGGATCACCAGATTACTGGATTATTGGCAAGCATGACAAAGAAAATAGAGTATGCATAAAAACAAAAAGATTTTAAAAAGACATGAGGGGCAATTTTTTTTGTTTTACACAAACAGTGGCTCATGTGTGGAATGAACTTCCAGAGGAAGTGGGGATACAGGTATAGTTACAACAGTTAAAAGGCAATTCGATAAGTTCATGAATAGGAAAGATTTGGAGGGATATGGGCCAGGAGAAGGCAGGTGGGACTAGTTTAGTTTGGAATCATGGTCGGCATGAACTGGTTGGACTGAAGGGTCTGTTTCCGTGCTGTATGACTGTGACTACAAAAAGGATAGCTAACCCTGGGGACAGACAGGATCAGAATGTGGTACCACTGGTTCCAACACTGGAGATCACATGATCAATAAGAAAGCACTAATCCATTGAAGCACTTACTGTCTGCTCGATGACTATGGGTATTAATGGCTGGCGACAGCGTGATGTCTGATGAACCTTCCTGCATTCTGTCACCAGCTGCCCAGAATGCCGCACCAACACCTGATTAATAAATAGATACAGAGACGATAAGAAATAGGAACAGAAATAGGCTGCTTGGCCCCTCAAGCCTGCTCTGTCATTCAATAGGATCATAGCTGATCCAACATTTCTCATGTCCGTTTTCCTATCCTTTGCCTACAACCTTTCATTCCCCAACTCATCAAAAATCTCTCAGCCTGAAACATACACAATAATTTTGCCCCTACAGCTCTCTGTGGCAAGGAGTTCCAAAGACTCTCAACACTCAGAGAGGAAATTCCTCATCTCAGTCTTAAAGTAGTGACCATTTTCTTCTGAGACTATGCTCTCTGGTCTAAAACTTTCTGGTCAACAGTAACCCCCAGGATGTTAATAGTGGTGGATTAAATGATGGTAACACCATAGAATGTCACGGACAATGATTAGATTGTCTCTTATTGGAGACGGTCATAACCTGGCATTTGTGCGGTATGAATGTTATTTGCCATTTGTAAGCCCAAACCTGCATATTGTCCAGATCTTGTTGCATTTGAACATGGACTGCTTCAGTATCCGGAAAGTTGAGAACAGTACTGAACATTGCACAATTGTCGATAAACATCCCCCATTTCTGAATCTCCTGAAGTCGGGAGAAGGTCATTGATGAAGCAGCTGAAGATGTTTCGGCCAAGGACACTACCCTGAGGAACTCCTGCAGGGATGTCCTGGACGTGGGATGACTGACCTCCAACAACCACGACCATCTTCCTATGTGTCAGGTATGACTCCAACCACCGGAGAGTTTTCCCCCCGATATGCACTGATTCCAGAGGTAGTAGGAACTGCAGATGCTGGAGAATCCGAGACAACAAGGTGCAGGGCTGGATGAACACAGCAGGCCAAGCAGCATCATAGGAGCAGAGAGGCTGACGTTTCGGGC